AAGGAAACACAGCAGAACACCAGAAACTTATTCCAGAAGAGACTTCCGTGCTGGTACCAGGAGCACAGGCTCCTTCACAATCGTCCATCACTGTGTGTTTAACCGAGCACTTCCTCTGCACTCAGCACCGTCTTAGCAACTATCTGTGGAAAAACACACAACGTCTGCTCAGATGGAGCTGGTGTCTACGTTGGTCCATAATGCCCACACGAAATAGCTCATCTAACGAGAGATGAAAAGCACCAGCGTTGGTTCTTACAGACCAGCCCAGGCCCCAGTGCTGCCAACCTTCTGCCTGAGGGGAACTGAGCAAGTCAGCGAGCTTTTCCAAGCCTTAGTCCTGAACTGTAAGACGGCGGTAAGAGCAGACTGACCCCCCAAGGTGAATGTGAGCGTGCGGGGAATCTGGCCTTCATAAACAAATCCCACTTCATGGAGACAGTCCGTGTTGCGCGCAGGTAAGCCTCGGTTCACATCCTGGTTTTACCGCCTATTAGCTGCATTTCCTTGGTCAAATGATTTAACGCCACTTGCCCCCACTTCCTCCTTTGTAGAATGCAGATAACGTAACCCGCATAGTGAGGCGGTTTTACAACCTTGCCCAACTCAACGAAGAGAATCATGGCAAATCTTTCTGGATGCGAAGAATCAGGGCCAGTCTGTGGCCATTTAATTTTCACTCCAGACAAGGACAAACAGCATTCAGAAGTCACCTACACTATTTTCAGCAGTATGCTTGTGAAACTTGTCTTCCCTTTTTCAAAGGTTTAAGCCATTCAGAAGATTTCTTGAGGCTAAACAGAGTTTTTCTAGAAACTCCCAGTCAAATATACGGACATAACAAAGTAACTACTACAAAGAGCAGCAGGTGTTCTGACCCTCTTTATCACCTCCCTGAGGTTTCACAGTGGGTCACAGGATGGGCTACCTCACTAGAGGCAGGTTAATAGGAAGATTTCTCTCTGTCACTGACTAGATATACTAAGCCAGTGGGCCACTATAATTTTCAGATGCACAGAGAATTCTCACTGGAATTTGGCACATTACACTTTCTCTCCCCATTTATAAACCTGTCATTATCTTCGGAAAGGGGCAGGGGGTGGTATTCTGACCTTACGACATCTTACTTAAGAACAATAAATCACAGTCCTGATTTGCTAATCTCATTTGGTTCCTTGGAGAAAGAAGAGATTTTTTAATTATGTTGTGGCTTCTAGGGGAGCATAGAGACCCAAATATAGAGTATCTGAGGGAGAATCTCCAAGATGAGATGATTAATTGACTTAAAGGTGCACAGCACCGTGCTTGTGTGTGGTTAAGAACTCAATTTCAATACATATGAGCACAAAAAAGAAAAACAAGAGAACCACAAGAGGCACTGTATAATTCAGCACTCAGTTATATGGCACAGGCATGCTTGGTAGGAAGAGAAAGAATGGTGATGACTACATGAAGCAAAAATGACACTAAGAGGAAGAATTCGAGCTGGATCTTGAAGGACGGCTAGAATATGAATGAGAGGAAAAGAGACTGGAGGGCATGAATGGTCAGGGAAACTTGAGTGTAGGCAGAGAAGGAATGAGCGGTATGCTCCCGGGTCACTGAGGACCATTAATGAAATTGATATAAATGGTGGGGCCAGTTTACAGAGGGCATTGGGAATCAGCAGGAGAGCCCTGACTGGATATTTTGATGTGTTCATGAGCTTATCAATCTGGGTCCATTCAGGAGATAAAAATCACACAGTCAGAATACTATTGCACGCTGTCTGCAGTGGGACAGCCGCAGAAGCAAATGTCCATAGTATTGGTGAACTGAGGCTGACGCTTGAGCAGACAAAGGGAGTTGGGTGCTGGGGTCCCACCGTGCATGCTGCTGGAACTGAGGTTTGAAGAGGCCTCCTTCTGTAAGAAGCTAGTGTACTTTTGGGTACCTCAGGCCAGGGGGTCCAGTTCCCTATATGACCAGCCCTACAGGGCTGAATAAAGGGTTTACAGAGCAGAAACTTGGGCCAGAGCACAGGATCCATTGTCTGGGGCTCCCACTATGCCACTGTTGCCCATATAATGAACTGAGGGCCTCTGGGGAAGCTATATCCTGCAAGCCCTTAGCACTGGCACAAACCTCGAGGGCTGAGAAGTGGAGAAAAATACAGTCCTCTCTAGCTTCCTTGGAAGTATCCACAGCAACCAGAAAAAACAGCCCTTCTTCCTGCAGTGCCTCTCCAGTGCTCTGTACTGGCAAAGTTTAACTTCATGCTAGCTGGCAAAGGAAAATTATTTAAAGGTCTGAGATCCATCTTCAGAAATCAGGCAATGAAGGATAAGAGCTGAGAGTCAATAAACTGTCAACTGTCACCATGGGCAGTGCAATGGAAGCAGATCTTTGGAGCAACATCAGGCGGCTTGGATTACACTGTCAAGATTGTACAGGCATTGGAGAAGCTCAGCCAGGAGGCTGCTGTAGTGGCACAGAGATGCCAAGGCCTTGGGCCACAGTGATGTCTGCAGGAATGAACTAGAGGGGTAGGACAAGATACTTCAAAGGAAAGGGAGAATTCTTCCTCCAGGTTATCACACTGCCTTAGTCCATTCAGGTTGCTTAATAAAAGTACCACAGACCTGGTGACTTAAAAACAAACATTTATTGCTCACAGTACTGGAGACTGCGCGATCCAAGATCAAGGCTCCAACAGATTCGGTGTCTGGTGCAGATCTACTTTCTGGTTCTCGGATGGCTGTCTTTTCCATGTGCCCTAACGTGGCAGAATGTGGAGGGAGCTCTCTGGAGTCTCTTTTATAAGAGCACTAATCCCATTCATGGGGGCTCCATCCTTAAGACCTAATCACCTCCCAAGGTCCCCACCTCCAAATACCATCACACTGAGGGTTAGGATTTCAGTATATGAATTCTGGGGGGACAAAACATTGAGTTCATAACACACCCCAATTTTTCAAAAGCAAAAAAAGTGGGAGATCTGCAAAGAGATTAGAGAAACAAAGCCACTTTTCCTCTAGTCAGTAGCATCTGCTGAGTAAGCCCATCCATGTACAGATAAACATCTGAATCCACTGAGAACCAGAACCAGAACACTGCCTCTCAGGAGAACTGGGTTGCTCCTTGCATAATGAGGGGCAAAAAGTGGGCCAGGCAAAGGATCACGAGTCATAGTGGACATGCTGGGTTTGGAAAAATTCCAGAATCTAAGAACATGGCCAGAAAAGGGGCTAAGGAACTGTCGAGATTGAGAGAGGCCAAAGCCCATGTAGGTCCTTAGTGCCTAGCACGATGACTGGCAGAAGGTGCATACACTTAGTAAGCACTGGTGGGAGGAAGGAAGAAAGGGAGAGAGGGTGGGAAAGAGAGAGAAATCCTTTAAAACATATGCTATTAATGCCGGAGGGGCAGGGCTGGACACAGACCCTAAAAGCAGCCTCTCTGGATGCAATCACAGAGGGAGGCAGAGCCAGGAGTAAGTGCCTGGCCTTGGAGCCGTCAGCCTCTACCTGTGGGCTGTGGGAGGTTCCCATCCAAGTATAACCAGAGGCAAGTCCTGAATCCTCCAAATCCCTGAGTAAGGGACAGAGAGCCTTAAGTGAGCTCTGTCACCAAATGACAAGAATCCAGACACAGGAACCACCCACTCAGATCATCATACTCTCTTCCAAGACACGACAGTAAAATTGTGCAAGTTCCCTCCCTCTCTGCCCTCTCCCTCCACCCCAACCCCAGCCCCAAGGCCCGGCCCAGCCTTCCTCCCAGTAAGACCATCAATGGTTCTGGAGCAGGAGCTTTTTTTGCACAGCTCCCCTCAGTCCTAGGGGTATGTAAGTGATGCTCCATCTGCACCTCAGTGGACCCCAGATGTGGGAGAGAAGGACCCTTCACCACAAGCTGTTATGCACCTCACAGAGGACAGTGCTGTTACCCCCACTTTATAAACGAGGACACTGAGATTCTGAGCAAGTACCCCCCTGTCCATGCAGCCTCTAATGCTTAAAGGGAAAAAAAAAAGACATATATAAAAACTTACTTAAAAAAATTACTCTGTCACTCATTTTGAAGTTTCTTAGCTAACTAATTTCTAGTTTCTCCTTCCTCACTTTCATCAAATTCTCCATAATAATGAAAGCTGACATGTACAGATCACTTACGAAGTGCCAGATAGTCTTCTGAACACTACACGTATATTAACATAATCCTTATAACAACCCTATTTTGCAGATAAGGAAACTAGATAGAGTTAAGAAACTTCCCGCAGGTCACACAAGTGGCCTAGTAACGTGGTGCAGTGAGGCCACAAACCCAGCTCTTCTGGCTCTAGAATCCATCTGCACAACAACAATACACTGAGTTCAGAGAGAAATCCTGTAAGACAAATATTCAATTGCAGAGCCTAAGATATGGAATGTCATGATTTTACAGTTACCTTGGTAACTTTCTGACAGTTCTGACCAGGGTCCTGACTATGACCCAGATCTACTACTTCACAGCCTTTCTGTTGTAATGAAACTATCAACCGGTAGTGGTCATTCTCTAAGGGATTTTGGAGGAAGGCCAATGTTGACCAATGAGACATGCGATGGAGGCCAGAAGCATACTCAAATGTGTTGAGCCCAGGAAGCCAGGACCCCAACATCATTAGCATCCCTGCCCTTGGCTAGCTTTCCAGCAGGAAGCCTGTCTGTCTGGGTGCAGCATAATGTGTTGGTCTGTGTGTAGATAAACACCCTCAGCCCTCAAAGCTGCCCATGTTTCCTGGAGCCCAGAGACTCCCCAGTGCCAGGAAACAACATGGTGTAGCCAGCATGTATTTATCACTCCTAAAAAATGGTTCACAACTCCAGACAAACTGAAGAGAAAAGCACAAAATTCCAAGTTTACAGACAGTTACCTCTGCTGATGTCACAAATAAGCTAGGCTGCTTTGTAAAACCAGGGAAAGAATACTAAACATACCTCTATTCAGCCTAGAAAGTTGCTGCAGATTTGAGGGGGCAATGAAATTACCATCATCTCAATTTCTTGATAAAAACAAAAAGAGAAACATTAAATTCATGAAGCTTTGACAAGGAACCCAGTACTGCTTACAAAAGGGCTCTGACCTACATGCTTGCTTTACTTCCTGGTCTGGTCTTCATGCACCCTCCCCCCTGCCAGGAGGGAAAGAGGGAAACGTTAACAAGTAAACAAACGCATACATGCATACATGTACGTATGTAATAATCTTGAGTTGTGTGGTGAGGGGCTTGTAGTCCTCAGATTAAACAGAGTCAAGGCTTCTCTTTAATCACAGGACAAAGGTAGCAGATACACTGCAGCGAAAGCGCTCTCGTATATTTCCCTCTCACCTTTCCCGGCTTGCAGCGCTCCTGATCCTATCGGTGAGCACACGGACGGAGGCCATCATCTCACAGCCATCCAGGAGTGATGGTTTTCAGTCCCCAGTGGGGAGGGCATGCCTCCAAACTGCTGCTTAGAGATAAAGGGCTCTCAGCATCATTAACAAGGCTCTGAGAGATACTCATTCTTCAATTTTGCTACAACCTGCTTAGCTTTAAATACAGCTCTCAAGATCTGTATTTCATGCACCCTTTCATGTGGTATGTTGCTTTAGGACATGCTTTCTTTCCCTCTAAATTTATCTTGACTCTGCTTTTCCCACTGAGAATTAGCTCTTTTTCATGGCTAAAGATGCCTTTTTCCTCCTCCTCAGTCTGTGGATTTTTATGGCTGTGCCTTCAGATAAAATGAACCATGTTGGTACAATATTCCAGCCTTTTCTCTTCTCTTAGACAAAGAGGCCTAGCAACAAAAACAAAAAATTTGTCATGTTCAAACTAAAATTTTGACCAAAACAAAAAACACTAAAACATTTGTAGGTAATTTTATTTTACCCAAGAGCTCAAGTTGCAGACAGACACAAATGTCCTTGTCTGTATTTTTCTTTATAGAAAATAATTGAATTTAGAAGTACATTCACTCCGGGTTGGGTTTTTGTCATTATTTTTTACTATTTCCCTTTTCTGAGCAGTCTGACCTTTGGGATTATTGCGGTAGAAATCTTATTTCCACGACAGACATCACCATGTCAGACATGTCAACATTATCCAAGGCCGTCTGGCATAAACAGCCCAAGTGCCTTTCTTCTCAGCTGATGGCTTCTGGACCTCACCAGACAACTCCTTGGTAAACCCCTTCAGCATCCCTGCTGTTTTAATCAATCCTGCACACATGAAGCAGCTGGATCTCTGCTTCATGATTTGGCTCAGGAATAGAAAAATGGAGCTAGAGCCTTCCCATGATTTGGAAAGGAGAATATGAAGTTTCCGGGAAGCCAGAGTCTTAAAGAAGTCTTCTTTGTTTCCAGTACGACTTAAGTGAGACTTCTGGCAGAGTCAGAGGGGAAGGAATCAGAAAGAATCTGTTTAAGAATTATTGTCAAATTGAAGGGCTGAGTTTTGCTTAAGGGAAGAGCTGAAAACCACAGAGCATGGCAGTAAGATAAAAAAGAGGTTTCAGTTTTCCTTCATCTCCAGAAAACATTTGATTGGGGAATATGGAACCACAGTCCAAGGAGCATGAGGATTAGGCTGAATGGAGAACATTTTCCAACCCTCGTATCTCCAGAGAGTGGAGCTTAAAAGGTTCTTGGACTGGTGAAACGAACAGAAAACATGAGAAAGCACAGCCACAAGACCACCATACCTGCTGCACGGGCTCTGTGTCTGTGGTTTTATTGCAGCTGCTCCCAGGGCCACAGTGGGCTCATAATCATGGGCAATGAGGCAGCAGCTGAGGTTGGCAGAAATGGAATCTGGGCCATGATGGAGAACGTGTAAGAGATAGCAGACTTCATTTTTAATCTAGTTTATTCACGAATCATACATTCTCCTCACACAAATGCAACTTGAGCATAGGGAAAGAGACTCGTAAATGACTTGAGGTCCTTTTCTTGGCTGTGCATCATACGTCATGTTAGTGTACTCCTGTGTGTTGTCCTATGGCAAAGGATGTGGGAGAACACTGGCAGCTCCACAGTAACCTAATAGTGCTGACACTGATAGACTAACATACACTATTATCTTACCTGCATAATGGGCCCAAAGGAAAGCAGACCCACCTGCTGTTTGCTCTTAGCATCTGTCACTTAATAATAGAATAAAATCTCCAAGCTTCATTTATGTTTCTGCATTTCTTTTTACACTTTAGGATGTTCCTGGGAAAAAATACAAAAACTTGCCACTCTTTACAGACATGCAAAGACTTTATCTTTATTAAAGCAAATGTAAATACATTCTTCTGTTTTCTAATGTCATATTATTGGCCATGTCCAATTATTATAAGACGCGCTACCTTGCTTACATTTACCAAAACAGACAACATTTTATATCTCTGTCTCTTTTCCAGGAAAGCTGATGGCTTCAGGAAATAGTCTGTCTCCTAAAATGTAAATACGACAGTTTTCAACTGCTGACTTTAAGAGCCAGCCATCTTCCAAATTGTAGTGGCTCAAGACGCCAGACATGTGAGAGAAGTAGCGTGGAAGACAGAGCCAGAAAACCAGTGCTTAAGCTCTGTTTCTGTCTATGTAACCTTGGGGCATCTCATCGAAACTCAGTTTCTTCCTCTAGAAAATGGGAATAACATTAGCTTCCTACTTTACAGAGTAGTTGTGAAGAAAAGGGGATAATAAAAACAGGGTCTATGAAAATGTTTCATACATTTGTACACAGTGTCATACAACTATGAGATACTACTTTTAGCGGAAGAATATATATCCGTCCACTTATGAGTTGCAAGAAATTTTTTCCAAATGCATACACATGTATGTATTTTGGTGGTGAGGGAGTGTCCGAAGTTTTCATTAGCATCTCAAAGGATGGGTTAAGAACCGCTCTGGGCTAGTTGGTGTTCCACATCATTAATCATTAGAAATATGCAAATTAAAACCACTGGGAGAAACCAATACACACCCTGTAGGATGCCCATTGTCAAAAGACAAGCAATGCAGAGTACTGGTGTGGGTGTGGAAAATCGGGAACACTCATGCACTGCTGGTGGGAGTGTAAAGTGGTGCAGTCACTTTGGAAAAGAGTTTGGCTGTTTCTTACAAAGTTAAACTTACCACATGGCCCAGCAGTTTCACTCTTAGTAACCTACCGAAGAGAATGAAAATGTATGTCCACACAAAGATCTGTACACAGATTTTCAGAGCAGCATTATTCAAAATGGCCCAAAACTGGTAAGAAAATTCTCCATCAACTTGTGAATGGATAAACTCAATGAAGCATATCCATATAACAGAATACAGCTCAGCAATAAAAAGGAATGAAGTACTAGTAAGTGTTACAACATGGGTGAGAACTAAAAACGTTACACTAAGTGAAAGAAGATCATATACCGCGTGATTCCACTTAAATGAAATGTTCATAAATGCCAACTTTATAGGGGAAAAAAACAGATTTGTGATTGCCAAAACTGGAGGGGCAAGGGTGGGAAGTGACTACAAACAGACTCAAAGAAAATTTGGAGGTTGATGGAGACGTTCTAAAACTAGATTGTGGCGATGGTTTCACAACTCTGTAAACAAAGTACTAAAAGTCACTAAATTGTATATGTTACAATGAGTGACTTTATGGTATGTAAATTACACCTCAACATAGCCGTTTTTAGAAAAGATGTGAATAATGGACAGGATATTTTGATACATAATTGCAAAATAAATACAAATAGCAAAATACTTATCTATAAAGTGATTTTAGTAGCACATTCATGTTTTAAAATATTATCATTTAAAGAAAAGTGTTCTTTATTCTGTCTATGCTAGTTTCCTGATTTGTAAAAAATAATAATAATAATAATAAAAGTAACTTACTTCATGAGCATTTGTGATGAGAAATCAACTAATAGATGTAAAGAAGAGGGCCTGACACACAAGTATGGAAATACCTATTAATTACAGACACTAACTAGAGATCTCATGTCACTACCAACCACAAATATTTTGTAATATCAATTTCTTTTGATGTTCTTTTTTCTGTTGGGAAAGGTATGTGGAAAAATATCATGGCTGGAAATTTGGAGTTTGATATAATGTATCATGGAGAATGTAATCTACAAACACTCATTTTGGTTTTATTTTCATTTCAGATCAATTAAAAAAATAACTTTAGTTCTCCTTTTCACTCTCATTTTCTCCCTTATCTGCTCAGTTGCAGTGGCCATGATGAATCTCTTATTTATCAATTACAGGATGAAGGAAAATGCCCACCTCTAGAGGTAATAAAATTAGAAGGTGCAGAAGTTGGCATTGATAGCAGCTTGGGAAAACCATTTGTGTTTAACTGTGTGCCTCAGTCTGGAAGTAGAACTTTTTGCCTCTGTGCAACCTCAAACCAAGAAATGAAAAGGTAATTGATTATTCTTTTATCTATTGGCTTCACATTGGTGAGGGACTGCTTCTTCAACAGCAATCTTACAGATTCTTGGGACTGCAAGTAGAGAAGGGAACAGCAAATGCACAGCATGAGTCAATAAACTATCTTTTTCTTACATATGAGAAGTTTAGTTCTTCATTATTCTGCCAGATTCTTTCCTAACACAATTTCAAAGAACAGAAGCATCATCTCCTAACTCATTTATCTTAGATCTCTCCATTTCCCCCCAAAAAAGAAAGGTTACTTCCACTAAGGTTCACATCTAGTATCCCAAAAAAGTTGCCAGCTTTATAAATTTTAAGCTAGTTGGATGGATAGTCTGAGGCATAAAAACAATGTAGTAGGGTTATAATTTAATATACCACAGTGAAGTCAGCAAATAATAATAATAATGTAGCTTCCTGGAGAATTAATCCAGTTACATTTTGTGAGCATATAACTTTGTTGCAGGGTAGAAGTGTGAAGGCATTCTAAGGGGGTAACCTACAAACTTGAAGCATTCAGCAACTTCGGATCATTATTCAGTGTGTTATCCTGAGGGAATGGAGATCATGGGTCAACCTAGTAAGTCAGCTCAGAACTGTTGAGGGTGAAGGATGGATGGAATGGGGAGAGGAAGATAATGACAACATGCTAATGGATCAACAGGGTTTAGAAGAATATCATATCTCTTTAAAAGAATTTGGACTCAGCTCCAGTTTTAAAGAGAGCCCTAGGTCTGAAACCTCTTAGGCAAAAGATATTCTGTCCCTATTTATGGAACATTATGTATTCAAGTGCATATTTCTTTAAAAGATAAACAGGGAAGTAGAATGATAGCAACTTAATTGTATTCCAATTCACAGACGAAATTTTTATCATACAGCTAATACGCCCAAGACATTGTTTTAAAGTTTCTAAAGATTATCAGTATGATTAAGAACCAATCCTTGCTCTGAACCAAGAAGGTTGGACATCTACTCCAGTATTTTTAATGCAAAATAGAAATTGAGAAGTGCTACAGGAGAAGACAAAGTGGCAAAGGGATTGATGGCGGGGAGAGGAGGTGTCCAAATCTGGGGAGGAGTGTATGAAGGGTGTGGTACAGCATCAGATACACATACAAAAGAATGTAAGGAACAGAGGAGGGCAGAGGGAATAAATCTAGCTTTGGGGAGAAAATCAAGCAGTATGGAAAAGACTGGCAAGATGGGATGAGGTAGATAGGTTGCTACCTGGCCAAAGAGACAAGACTAAGAAAGTTCAGTCCTCAAGTAGGGGCACTAATGGTGCCCTAAAGGTGGCCACTACATGCAGGGAACACTCGGAGAGGTGGCTCAGGACAGCGGCTAGTCCCCAGTCCTTCCATATGTTAGTAGCCAATGCCTTCTAGTTAATACGCCAGTGGTTATCAGCCCTGCTGGTGTTAATACATTCACATACCTTGGTAAAATAGTGAATAAATTTTCTCTTAGGCACTAATTAAACTATAGAAAAGGAGAAGGAAGAGAATAACTTATTTTAAGTATGCCTGGTGGGTGTGGGATTTTGCTACTTTGTAACACCAATTTTGTAAGAATGTGTTGCTCTTATGAACTTAGAGCCATGAAATATGTCTGAGCCTCAGGACTCTTCTGTGTGAACGATGGGTTTCAGAGAAAAAAATAAGCCCCTCTGAAGGAAAGCGCCTCTCATCTTACTATCTTTCAGGTGGCTGGAGGCCATGGACAAAGCAGCCCACCCCATCCACCAGGTAAGCTGTCCTCGGTACCTATCTCTGCCTGCATTCTGCTTTCTCCTCAGAGAGGGCAAGGGTCAAGCTAGACATCATGCAGTCAACCCTGGGACTTTCAGATCTGCCCTAAAAGGTGGGAGAGAGGAGTTTAAGTCAACAGGATTTCCCACTCAGATTTCACGGAGGTGCTTGCATCCCTGCCGTTCTTTCTGTTTTCAGGGTTTCGTATGACGTTCCTCTCAGTGAGCTCAGTGGGTGGTTCAGACTGGGGTGGAATTTCTGTTTCTCAGAGAACAGTCCAGTAGTTCCCCAGGCGGTTAAACCACGGCTAGTGTTTTCTTTCCACTCCCTAAGAACAAGGGCTCAGGGTTATGTCTTGGGATAGTGCTGCAGGACAAACAGCTTATTAGAAAATGAGTGTCTTATGCAGGGCTTTATGTTCATACCCTTGTTCTGGAGACATAGTGGGCTAACTTCCACCGTTTCTGCCTATTCATGACTCCCAGCCTTGAAGCCATATAAGTTTTAATCTAGATTTGACCTACAAACTGATGTATAACTTCATAACATCAACAGGTGAGTCACCACTTCAGTCCCCAAGGTATATGATGCCCCTCTTACTGAGTGATGACCTAGCCAAGGCGGGGAGACATTGCTTTGATAGTCAATTGTTTCAGTTTTATCCTGTGGATATGACTTGTAATAAATGTATAGATTTCCTTTAAACATGCTCATTTCCTCACAGAACGGCACACAAGAAAAAGGTATTTACTACCAATTATCCTCTCTACATATTTTGGCTCTTGTACATTCAGGAAAATTTGGATTATTTGAGCTTAAACATACGACCCCATGCCCTGTGACTGTACTTTCAGAATAACCAGTGGCATCATCATATGACAAACAGCAGGATTTGTGCTTCATTTTACCCGGAACACAATGCTCAATACACTCATCCATCTCTCCAACACATCATCGTAATGAACCTTGATATTTTTAAGAGGGATCTATTCTGCTAATGCACTCAGAGTGTCTGCAGCAGAGTGAAAAAGGAATACCCCAACTCCCAGCAGGCTCCCACTTCACAGCGAAGAATTCAGCCAGTTCTGCATTCTGAAATCTTTTGCACTGCCTGTTAAAACTGAACAGCAAAAATGAAACCAAATAAAGAAGGAAAACTGGCTAGTGCCCAGCAGGGTCTTCTGATAAAGGGATGAAGCACAATGCCCCCTGCCTCAGGTCAAGTTCCCAGAAAAAGCCTGCCTCTCTCTCAAGACTGAGGGCTGCCCTCCAGGGTAGAGGATCTTGATTTGTCATGGGCCTTCCACATCCGTGACCATAAGAGCCCAAGGCCTGATCAGGCCTGGGGCATTTAACTTGTTCCTTTGCACAAATGGGAGTGCTAGATAAAGTAAAGAATGAACCAGGGGCTGCTACTAGTCACAGCAAACCTACCAGGAACAGGGCCAGAAGGACAATCCCATCAGTGAGTAAGACAGCACACTGGGGCCAGCACTTGCAGACAGGGCCTTTAAAGACAGTCTGTGCTGAGGTGTCCATTTCCATTTCCTTTCTATACATCACTGGTACTCTTTTGATTTCCTCACAAAAGAACAGAAGCCAAAGAGAAGGGATGTCTCTGGACATGAAAAGGGAGACGCTTTCTATGGCCAGTGGATAAATGCAGATTGTCTGGCTCACTGCTCAAGCATTCAGATTGCCATAGCAATAGTCACTTAGGGCAGCGGCTCCTCTGAAGTCAGCCTTGGTGCTGAGGCCACTGGCTCTGGGAGTCGATGACCGTCGGCACAGGATGACCACTCAGAGGATCCCATTGTGCCACGTCCGCAGAACCATGTCTGGGAAGACGTCACTCTGCACAACAGCAGCCTCCCGCCCCTGGCTATCAAGAATCCAGAGTGCCTGGGCCTTCTGCACCAGCTGGACAGGAGCACAGACACGTGGGTCCAGCGCTACTGCGTTCTGAAGGATGGCTGCCTGTACTTCTACGCTAGCATTCGCTCCACCCAGGCCTCAGGTAGGGCCTCCACTTTCACCTGAAATAATGGTAGTGACAATCAAGGTGGTAATGACACCTTAGCTGTATATAGCCTCCACCAAGCTTTGTGCTGTGTGAATTTGTTTACTTATCCTCCAGACAAGAGGTACTGCTATTACTCCCACTTTGCAGATCAGAAAACTGGCTTGAAAGTCCACACAACTTGACAAGAGCACACGTAGTAGGCAATGAAGCCAAGGTCGGAATCCAGCCTAGCTAACCCCAGAGCCTGGATGCCGAACCCCACGCTTTCACTGCTTCGAGAAACAAAAACGCACCCCTTCATTTTGGGTCACTGATGACATTCAGAGTCAACGCCAACAGTTTTCTTGGATAGTGACTCCATCTTTTTCTCACAGTATGTTCATCTTGGACAAATGAGTAACGGAAAGAACATTCATTTTCCTTGGGCAAGTTACTTAACTAAAACTTAGTTTCCTCATTTATAAAGTAGAAACAGTTATCTATTTCACTGGACTGTTGTGAATATTAAATGAGGTAATTGCCATTGAAGTTACTTAAGCCCTGCATATAAAGCACTCTCTACAAAAAGCTCTCTAATGTTACATGTACATATATTTTTAAAATTACATGTAATATATTAATACTATAAATACATAAAATATTTTAATATATTAAAAGCTATATATATAAAGTAAGTAAATAAACAATATGATTTTAAAATAAAGTAATTGTGCATGATTTCTATAAGAAAGATTATTTACCTCCTTGTGATTTTTGACAAAAGAACTTATGGATGTTTTATTTGCAGTTGGACTTTTCCCCAAATGAATAATCCTTAAATAATTAGCAGTAGTGAATATCCTGGAATCTCAGTAATTTAATTTCCGTTTTTAGCATAAACGATTATGTTAAATTAAGCTAGACAGCCATGTCAAATGGGAAGGAGGGATCTGGTGACCATTTCAACCTTCTTGGAAGGGCACAAAAGAGGTGTAAAGTGAGCATCACACCATGGTCCATTTCTCATCACTCAAGATTCTCTTTCCCATACTAACCCTTGCATTTTAAGAGTATTAAAACATAACCCAGGATATCTATCAGGAGATATATAGCTAAGTGGAAGTTCAAAACTATCAGGAGATAGCTCGCGTCTTTAAGCACTTACAGAAGAGGCTGTTCCTATTTAACGTCACTTTGCACAACAGTAGCCTCACAACTTTAAGCCCCTGATACCAGGATGGGAATGAAGGTAAACAAAACAAACCTCTACAGTAGTCACTGACTGGGGCTTTTATTATAGGGTATCACCGCAGAAGTCTGGACTATTTTAATTAACAGATCTATGAAGTTCACTTTCAAGAGACTGTTTCAACAGAAAGAAAGGGAATGTTTAGGATTTAGTGCTCAGATTACTCCAAACTTAAATATTAACCAAATGCTTCCAAATCCCTGGGGCCTAGAGACAGCTACTGCTTCCAAGAGTTTAAAACGGTAATGACAGCCACTAGGTGGCTTCCCTTATTCTGAAATATCAGAGAAGGCCCTACTTAGAAAAGTTGTACAGCTGGGAAACAGCTACTAATAAATGGCCTAAAATTAATGCAGTAAAAGCAGAATTATCTTTTGGTGAGTACTGGTCACTCAAGTGTTTTTACTTATCATTTCATGTAATTTCTACAACAATCCCATAAATAGGTTATTCGCCCACCTACAATTTTGCAAGCAGGTGCTTAGCAACGTCGAATCATTTGCCCAAGTTCCTCTAGCTTGTAAACAGTGAAGATAGAATTTGAACCCAGATAACCTAAGTCCCATTAGCCAAAAGAAAAAACACACAAGGAGGAAAAACTGAAAGGTTTCTTTGTATTCATCCTTTACCATTTCACCTATCTTTCCAGAGCTTTTGGTCTTTCCTGCCTCCAGAGCACTCTAAGGCCTTATACTCTGTCTCAAAACCTTTCCTTCTGGCTTTCTCTCCACTCCTTGTGTCAAAGCACCCTGTACTCTACCCAAACATGGTCACGTTCTACTTGCTTGGCACACCCCACGTCTTGAACATTTTTCTGACCCCATGTCTTTGCTTGTGTTAGTTCCTTTCCCTGAAACATTCTCTACCTACTGATTCCACAGCACACATTGTCCAGACTCTACCAGTCCTTCAAATGCTTATTCAAATGCTAGCCCTCTCTTCCAGAAAGCAACCCCACCCAGCTGGTGCTAGATCCACAAAGCATCTTCCTTTTTTGAACTTCCACTTACCTATCTTGTGACACTTATCATCCTCAACTTTGTGTTTTATCTCTAGCTGGCCATTTCATCTCTTCTAAGGGATTATAGGCTCAAAGATGACTCTATGTTATGTATGTTTAATGAATAAATGAATGAATGAACAATTAAATTGCCCCAATTGACCATTATTCCCATGAAGTGTCAGTAAATCCTCATTTAGTAGTGGAGAAAGACTGGGAGATTGAAAAGCTGTCTCAAAGGCAAAATCAGAATTCAGGCCACCAGATACCTGGGCTTTCTGTCTTATCACACCCTTTCCAGCTGTAAGTTATCTATTTTCTATCTAATTGTTAATTCCTTTCTTGAAAATGTATTATTTTGTTGCTAACAAAAATATTTAATACAAAACATTCCCTTTTTCCAGCCATACTTCTTGAATATTCTTCATAGGCCCTCAATTTCTAGCCCAAATTATTTCAAATATGGATTAAAAGAACATGTTCCTTATTGAAATTCCAACAGAAATTTTATATCTAGGCCAGGTTCTAAAATAAAGGCCTGTGATTTTTGTCTTTACATGACTCTACTCTTCCTCAAATAGAAGATACCATTTGCCTAAGTATGCACCTTGTTCCAGAAGGTGCACTTAACCGCCACCCCCTCCCCACTCCCACCCTGACAGCTGCTGGATCCAGATGGAAGCTCTCCCAGGGTTAATCAGCTGCTAACCCTTCTTCAGCATTAACTTGGCTGTGTAGGAATTCTTCTGAAGTCCTTTACCCTTTCCTAGATTTGAATTTTAAATTCAGATTTACATCCTTTTCCTAAGAGTCCTTTTCAATCTTCTTGTACGTTTTAGCTTAGATCATGACCTGAGGCTCACAGTCAGTGATCCCACACAATGAAACTCAAGATAGGATAGAGGCATATCCAAACCAACTGTGGGAAAATCCCAAAATCAATATCCCCCTCTCCACTGTCCACAAAAATCACTGCCCGCATGAGCCACATCTTTTTCAGAGGCCTGGACCACCCTGCTCAGAGAAAGTTAGTATGTATTGTCGAATACTTCCTATGTGTATAGGACTTGGATAGCTCTTTATATTCATTATCTGTAACTAATATTTGCAAAACATTCACTGTTATTGTCCGATTATAAGTGAGAAACTAAGGCTTGGAGAAGTTAACAGGTCATCAGTCACCCAGCTATTAAGCGACAGAGATAAAATGTGAACAAGTGCTATCTGAATCCTAGCCCAAACTCTTAGCCACAACGCTCTGTGTAGCACTCCCTGACAGAAGTTAGTCTTCTAATAAAGTAGTACTCAGTCAGTAATGCTGTGTGTCTGGTCTCTGCACGCTAGACATCACCACACTGAGTGTAATAGCCAGGGTCTACCCAGTCCAACTGTTTACCACAAAAAAACATACGAATTGTGAGGACAGCAGAGAAATGTATTGAGAATGGCTGAACCCATGCTGTGCCATGAACACTGCAGGCACTAAAATACTTAGTTAAACTTAATCATTTTTACATGCATGGAATATGAATTTGAATGTATTATTATATTCATACAGATTATACAGAGTGCTAATACTCATTTTCAGTTCTTCTAGGTGATGCTAGAAGAATGACTTTAGGGCTGGTCTCATCTATACTTTCTCCTTTACTTGTACTGGACAGTGCTCGGCTCTCGCACATCCCACCCTGGTCTGGTTCCTTGTTCTCTGGCCCTGTGATGGTCGTAACCTTGAAGGAGGTCTCAATTATCTTTCATAGCAGTAATTATCAAGCTGCAGGTTTCATCCAACTACTGAGTCATGCAATCAATGTAGTAAGTTGTGATCAGTATTTAAAAAACAACAGAATGGAATCTAATTGAATAGAAAATATCACGGTACATCACAATGTTTCAAAAAACTTTTGGTTCAATTGCATAAAAACATGTAGAGGTCTGTATTCATTACCTCTTTGGACCACAGCCAAAAAAGGTGGGAAAACACTATTGTACAAAAACACTGTCTCTGCATATTTGCTTTTCAAATGGGCAATTTTTTGTTCTGAATCTTAAAAACAGAGTATTTAAAGAAGATTATTTCCTTTTAATTATCTTTGAAATACACCTGCCATATAAGTTGCTTTGTTATTAAGACTTTGCCTTCTTAGGTCACTACTTCCCCTGGCTGTAGCATCTCAGTTGCTTTACTGTTTTGTTTTGTTTATTTTATTTTATTTTATGCATTATTCCACAGATTTATATTTTTATTAGAGATCTGGGAGACTTCATATGATAGTTCTTATTTCTGTAGGTATCCGTAGTATCTGGGGCATGACATTTCTTGTAACAGTCACACGAGATGCTGAGAGAACACTGAGGACAACAAAGACGAGGCAGGGAAAAGATAAGAGTGAAAGGAGGGGAAAACACAAGACATGAGAAGCAATACAGCCCTGATTTCCTGTTAAAAATCACATTACTTGCTAGCCGCACACATCTTACTTTCAGTTTAATATGCCTTTAATGTATATTGGGGAACTTGGAGAAATAGCCCCAGTCAGTTAGTTCCCTTAAGTCTTTTCTCACCGTCAAGAAAAGTGCTAATAGTTTGAAAGTATGTATCACTGGCTGGCCTGTGCCTGTTAATATTTAAAAGTCATTACTGAAGAAGCCCTTTAGTCAAGTGCCTCTTCATAGGCCTAAAGACCCTTGTCATTTACTGTATACCTGATAATTTTTTTTCCCTTTTATCTCTCTCCAGCAAGAGCTGGAAGTAACAAATTGTGACTGGTAACTATTATTCTTGAATAAATCACATCAAGGTCTGCATGCACTTCTCAGATATATTTTACATTAATGCAACAGATGGAGCACATAATGCTTGCACAGTTATTGTGAGAAATCTCTGTCCAAATACTGTGCCAGCTTGCTATTTACTGCTGCCACATAATGACAGGTAGAGACCAACCATGAGGTCACTTCAAATGA